GATTTAGTTCAGATTAAGGAAGAATAATGAGCGAAGATGAAGTGATGACATCGGGGATCGAGAAGTTTCATGACACAGATTTTAGTTACAGGAGGATGCAGAAAGATGACTAACTCTACAAGAAGAAACTTAATCTTTCGTTACTGGGAAAAAAACCAGAAAAGATGGACGAGGCGGAATAGAATCTGTTGGATTGACAAGTTCTGGAGGTTATACAATTAACCCTGTCAAGATCCGTTGCCCACAACGTCATCAAGGAGAGGGCTACTGCAGCTCTCATGGCGGGTTTATCAGGTATGTTTGAAAAGCCGTTAAGGAATAACAAGGTGCATCTAATGAAAAAGTTATTCAACCCGAAGATGGCGGAAGATGTGTTTGTTGCTCAACACCTGAATGATTTCAATACTATCACAAATCAAATGTCTTCTGTTACGTGGGTTGATATTGTTGGCTTCATTGTTAAATAGCTGAGAAACCATGAGAATGACAATCAACAGTTCTGTAGGTAAATATAAACTGAAATATGATGATATTCGTGATTTGATTTTGGCTGAAGATGTGCGCAGGAAAGATTCTGGTAAGACATCAAGTTCGAGTTCGACATTGAATGTTGATTCAAGAGAGAGACCACAAGATAGAAACTCAAATAGAGAAAGATAAAAATCAAAGTCTAGTCAGCAAATAAACTGCTGGAATTGTGACAAGGCTGACTAGATAAAAAAGAACTGCAGAAATCCTAAGAAAAAGGAGAATGATGTCGCTAATATTGTAATCGAAGAAATATAAGATGCGCTATTGCTGACAGTCCATAGTTCCGTTGATGACTGAATACTGGATTCAGGGGATTCCTTCCATACATCTTCCCACCATGGGTAATTTGGTAATTACATATTGTACTCAAGATTTCATTTATATTTTTTTTCTAGGGTTATAAATTAGGCTTGTATGTAATCCTTGGGATTATCTCTGAATTCTGTATTATGTCTTTTTTCTGAATTAGTGAAAAGCTGCCGCTCTGCTCCCAATGACGTAGGCGGCTCTGCTCCCGAGGACGTAGTCATCTTTGCCGAACCTCGTTAAATCTCTTTGTGTTCTTCTGGATTTATGTCGTTCTTATTTTTCTTCGCCTTAATTTCTCAACACTCTGTATCTCTGCCGAATCATGTAAATCAATGTGTTCTCATGATTTGCAATTTTTCGATTCGATTTTGCGATTGTTTTTAAAAACAAATGGCAAAAGAACGGGGCTAAACGAGCATGGATTTTCGGGATGCTGCTGCGCCCCTACTGTTTGGGCGGCGATAAATATTACATCAGTACTACGCACGTAGAGTAACGTGCGTACCCAATGAAATCACGCCACGATATCCCTCGCGACGCAGAAAAAAAACGGCGCAGTAACACGGGGAATATTCCCCCCGTGTTATTCATGTGTTATTGTGTGTTATTCATGTGTTATTGTATCCTGGGAATATTCCTGGTGTTATAATAACACAATAACACATGAATAACACATGAATAACACACAATAACACATGAATAACACGGGGGGAA